CCCCAAAACCCCAAAACCCCAAAACCCCAACTGTATAATTATAGTTGTAATAATAAAATGGAAAAGCAAAAAGCTCCAGGAAAGAGCGCCCTAAGATCCAAAAGCCATTTTAATAAGATAAAACATGTACGGCAAGAAAAGATACCTATGATATTTATGTATTCATAGTTCTCGAGTTATTTAGACATTCATAAGAAGAAAATATTGGCTAAAGTCATCTAGTTCCTTTAATATCTTTTAGAAAGGATATAAAGAGTTAAAACTTCAGCTCTGGCCAGAGTAATTTTGCCCTTCTTCAAGCATTCTTTTTAACTCAAAGTGAAATCTTATGCTGTTTAAGATCTAGTAAACTTCAGCCACCAATTTTTCTAAGGCTAAAATCTTCAAGAGTTTGGAGTAACATATATGGTATTGGTTTTTTGCTTGATACTGTAGACTTAGAGGTCCAGTCAGGCTATCTATGTGATAATAGAGTAGATCTGAAACCCGTGTTTAGGATATTATAGCTCTTTTTCATTACAAATTTAGCAGATTTCCTATATCTGTGTTGTGACTCGACCATCATTTTTACAGAAGCCAGCTTGTTGTGAGTTATTACTTAGCCTTCTTACCTTTTAATACGACCTAAGCCCGAGCCTTTCTTAGCATCTCTCAGCAAGCGAATGTATCTATTTTAATGATTTTCTTGATATTCTTGGAATCACTCTTCTAATTTTTGCTTACTCTTTAAGAAATTTTTGATGAAGAACTAACTATAGAGTCAAAAGAACCAAAAGAGTAAAGTTCATCAGAGTAAACAGAAGAAGGTATTGCTTAATTTTGATGAATAGGATTATAAACTCTCATCAGAGGCCACTGATAGAGAAATGAATGATCTTCTCGGTTTTGATCTCGAAGGCAACTCAAGTAAGCACTCCTCTTATTGCATAGATGGTGAGCTTTACAAACAAGAGGAAATATTGCAGATGATCAATTCAAGCAATCAAGGAAAGCCTTATGATTATGACTACGGTATGCTACTTGTCTTCATAGATATAGATGCTAATTCGGAATATCAGTCAGATTATTGTAAGCTGATTCCCATTTTCTTGTTCTTTCTAATCTGTTCAGCTATTGTCAATATAGTATTAACGAATGTAATATAGTCCATCCGCCCCAGAAGAATATGCTAGCTCAATCTTCGAATCCCTTGATAACAAGGAAGGATCCGAACATGTATAATCCGATTACTGGCAGTTATGTAGGGAAAATGAAGCATCAAACAAAAGATTTAGAGTAAGCCTCTTTCACTCATTCTACTCGAAACTACTTTCTGAGCAAAAGATAAGAAATTCGAAGGATTTTGGTTAAATCAACAATTTTGAAATTTAGATATGAGGGGGTGCTAGATAAAAGAATTTCTAGTATTTTGAGATGTAGGATATCTTAGTTGTTACACAAAAAGTTAAAGAACACTACTCTAGTTCATATTTACAACCCAAAGAGCTTACACTAGACTTAGGTATGCCTAAAATCTCCCAAAGTTTCTTCCTAAGCATCACCCCTAATCTTTTATTGGTTTTAAATCCCTTCACTAAAGCAGGTCAAATTAGGAGAAAAAGTTACTAAAAGTATTTATTAATAACTTCTTAATTACTTGCTCATTAAACTAAGGATGTTTTTGAAAACTCCTTCTTGAGTCATTACTAAGAGATATCAGAAATATGAATTCTGTTCTGTTGAAAATTTGACTGCTTAAAATCCTTCGAAATTTTTACAGGTTGCTTTATCCTGTCTCTAGAGAGTCTTATGGCTCATCTGATAGTTCAATGCCTGAAAAGGTAGTTGAGAAACAAATGGCCTTTCGTAAAGAGCCCAGAAGATTGAGAAAGGTCAAAAAGGAGCCTAAAACTCCTGAACAAATTGAAGCAGAGATGCAGGAGGTCTTTGGCAAAGTTGAGAAAGGTAAGCAGTCACTCAGGCTGACTCCTCTAAGCAGCCTGGAGTTTAGATATCAGACTTTAACTTTTTGGTATAGGCGAGATTAGCCAGGAAGAAGCTAATGCAATCATTCTATGTCTCCTTGGTGAAGAAGAAGGGGAAGGAGAAGGTGGCGGTGGAGGTGGTGGCGGTCCTGAAAGCGAAAACGAATCAGACACCAGAGATATTCAATACCAAAAAGAAGCAAAACAATTTGACTCATCTGACTATGAAAGCTCAAAGATTGCTGAGGAAGAGGAAATGAGAGAAGCTCAGTTAAGAGAGAAAGAGTTCATGGAATCTAGGAAAGAATCTGAGAGGGTAATTTTAGTGAGGTTAACCTTTTAGAGGGCACCTCAAAGAAAATATAGGATTGGAAATAGTTCACCTAAAGCAGGTTATTCTTTACAAGAGCTGGACAATCTTTCTGAGAATCAATTTGAAAGCTTTGAATCTTTGGTCAATTGGTTCCCACAATTAAGAATTCTGACTGTAACTGAAAATGAAATTTATATCCTTGACTCTCAAAATAACAAAATCCTCAGAATCGATAAACAAAAGCTAATAGAAAGCTTATTTGATCTCAGAATAAGAGAAAATGCCATAAATGATGATCCAGGTCAGTCTTAAACTCTAACTGTCCAGGTCCGGGAGGGAGAGGTCTAAGAAATCAAATTATGCCCGGGAATAACCCTCAACCAAAATTTTACGAGTAATTCCTTGCTCTTATCCTATAGCATGTCAGAACAAGAAAACGATGAAAGTAGTTCTTAAGCTTCATATTTTAGGCGAAGGCGTCATGGATTTCATGAGCATTGAAAATAAACCAGTCAGTCTTAAAGAAGTCGAAGTGGCCAAAACTCACAATATAAGTCCTGTAGGTGGCAGGAGATCCAAGAATCCGAACCTAAGTAATATCCAGATGTACCCTCAGATGATGATGCATCAAAGGGATTCTGAGGGGGGCTCAGATAATGATTCTCCAAGCAATTTTGATAATGATTTTCCTCAGGAGGATTCAAACATAATGAAAATACCGAAAGGAGGTGATAGTATAGTTCCCCCAAATGCAAAAATATCCATACAGCAAAATAAAGGTTTGTAGTGCAGCTTTAATAGTTCTAGGCCAAGCATACATAGAGGAAGGATATTACAGAAAACCTATTGAGATGAGCGATCTTCCTATTAGTACAAATTTCCTTAATCTTTTCTAGTCCCTGAAGAGAACAATTTCAATTTTGATCAAGTCAATCTAGAAGAGCAGAACAGGATCTTAGCTGAAATTGAAAAACAAAGGAAACTAGAAGAACGAAAGAACTCACCTAAAAAGCCCATAAGAAGTATAGGTTTTCATTGATCTTTTAGGAAAGCCAGTTAAAGATCCAATAGCTCAGTTCAAGGCTCAGGAAGAGAGAAAGAGGGTTAAAACTCTCCAGCAGTCACACATCCCTGTGAATATCCAAAACTTCTCTTACGCACCGCTTGATTCTGCTCAGAAGGATACTGAGGCAACCTACAGTCACTACAAAAAGCCTGTCGATATCAAGTCTCCTAAGAAAGACAAGAAGTTCAAGATCAATATTAATATCGCTGATGAAAGTGAAGGTAAGTTATTCAGAGTCTTGGACACAGGAAGTTTTATTATGAAAAGTTAGATATTACGAAGAATGCTGAAAATAGATAGATAATAGCCCAATATGGAACCTGAGCTGTTCATATATCCTAAGCCTTAGAGAATTTAGAAACTCGGGGTTTATGTGAGGTGTTATGTTCTTGATGATAGTTCTAGGACTAGATTCTAGAGATTAAGCCTTTTGTGGCGGTCTTTTAGAATACGGGTGGTAATAGTACTACCAACGGCTTAATCTTCTTGCCTGAGTTTGTACCGGATCTGAGAGAATAATTTATTTTTATTTTTACTAATGATTATCAAAACCCAGTCGGTGGTCATTCTCTATGATAAAGCTAATGACTAATAGATCCTAAAGAGCAGATCCGAAGCGTCAAGCCTACTGTTGGTAACCTCATGAACTATGGGAGCCAGCCTTCTTCTGAAAAGGTAATGACTGGAAATATACGCTTGATTTTGAGAGTCTGAAGAAACTCTTCAAATTTTAAGTTTCAGGATTGAGCTGGTATTTAACACAAAAATATCCAGATTTTATTGTTTTAGTAATTTGGCTGATTTAGGGGCTACCTTGAGTTTTATAGGTGAAAAATAAGCAAAAGGTAGAGATTAATGAGGAAAAGAATGAAGAAATAAAGGAAATAAAGAAAGAAGAACCTAAGGAGGAAAAGAAAGAAGAACCGAAGGAAATAAAGATAGAAGAGAAGAAAGAGGACGAATTAGAGAAGAAGAGTGGTTCTCAACCAAACCAAACAGCAAACCTTAAACCTAAACCATTTAACTTCACAGGCCTTGATGGCATGAGTGACATGCTAATGGATGATTTAGGTATTGTTGCTCCATAAATACTTTAGAAGAAGACGAGCCTGAAGAAATTAATATATCAGAGCAAAAGCCAAACTCTTTCAATTTTAATGCATTAGAGGGTATGAGTGACTTGATGATGGAGGGACTAGGTAAAGACCTTGAATAACATATAGATGAAGGAGCCGAGCAAAGCTCTGACATGGATAATACTCCAGTCCATTCAATTAATAAAGACGGGGTACCCACTGTGTTCTCAAAATCACAGCTTGTAAAATCATCATTCCCTCAAATTGACACTAACAGTCATACTCAAATTATTGAAGGAATCGCAGATATTGATGTCAAAACCAAGATTAGTGGAATCATACTCCAATTAACAGAAGAACTTAAGAACAGTCAACTTCAGCTAGCACAAAAGAATAAGAGTATTGAAGAACTTGCGAAAAGCGGATATAATCCATTAGACATGGGTAGTAACAAACTTCATTTTGCATTCTTATTTGCATCACCCCTTGTCAGAGAAGTAAATGGGATTAATAGAGAAATAATGCTACTTGACTGGGCATGTGAGATTGAGGATATACTTGATTCCTTAAGGCACCTTAACTATAACCTCAACTACAAAGTCAGTGTTGGAACAAGAGGTAAGTCACCTCCTAACATATTCTAGAAAACCTAAGAAGAACAGTCATTGATTGTCCAATTGCTCTCCATTTCTCAGGCCATGGAGTAGAAAACACTATCGAGAATTTAGGTAACTCTTATGCTTAATTTCTAGGCCAATACTCAATCTTGACGAAGGAGAAAGGCAATGTGCTGCTTCTCGAAGACTCAATTGGCAAAACCAACTACTACTTCGAGAAAGAATTGGAAGACCTAGTCAAAGTCAGAGAGAACAAGTTTGAAGTTGTCTTTGTGTCGTCCTGCCACTCCGAGTTTGCAGGGAAAGTGTTCTTGAATGCTGGTGCCAAACATGTAATCTGCATCAAGCAGTCTGAGAAAATAGCAGATGCAGCTTCTCTGAAGTTTTCTTCAGTGTTTTATGAGAACTTATTTGGCAAAGGAATGAGTGTGTGAGATGCCTATGTGACATCCAAGAACGAAGTGGCCAACGAGATCAACCCCACTGAAGCAGAGAAGTTTCTGTTGTTTACACAAGAAAGCCATGGAGAAAGATTAGATAAGAAACATAAATGTTCAGCCATCCACAATCTCACTGAAGGGTGTCTGACTGATTTAAGTGAAGACCCTCTGTTTGACTATGTTCCAAACAAAATGGAAGGCTTCATCTGCAGAGAAATTGAAATGTACCAGATTACAAGGTTGGTGAGCTCATCCAAAATTGTGACGGTCATTGGGCCTCCAGGAATTGGCAAAACTAGCATTGCAAGGAACTTAGCAAACTTCTACAAAGAACGGAGAATGTTCAGAGACGGAATCATATATGTTAAGTTGAGAGGAATCACTTCATCTCAAATGTTCTTAACTCAGTTCTCATTATGCATCAGAGCAGCCACTGGAGAGATTGACGAAGAAATGATGAAGAATGAGCAAGACTTCTTTGAACCAGTCATGAAGAAGCACTACTCGACTGTTGAAGCAAAGCAGAATGAAGCGATAGATATCCTGAAAAACAAGCAAGTGTTAATTGTATTGGATAACTGAGAGGATCCAATTGATAATGATCATGAAAATTTTATTTACGAGTTAGAAAGAATTTTAGAACTCTGCTCTAAAATTAAAGTGTTACTAACCTCAAGGAAACCTCTGAATGAGCTAGTTCATAATGAAGAAAAACTCTTCAATTTGTATCCGCTCTCAAAGCAATCTACAATTAAACTATTATTGCAGAAGCTAGAAGAGGTTAGACCTATACCTGTACAAGAAATCAAAGAGCTTGTTGAATGAAGTATTCCAGAAGGTAGCAGAATGGGACAACATCTCAACCTCAGATTTAACCCTGAGAGCAATAAGTTGTTGAATAAGGATCATGCAAACCTCTTGAACCATCCATTTATTCAGTTGCTTGGAGGCCACCCTCAAGCCATCTCTCTGATCGTGTCATTGCTCAGAGACTCCACTCTCAAAGACTTGTTCCTGACATTCTGTGACTCCAACATGATTGATGTGGTGCATGAGAACTCTGTACTTGGAAGCCAGACTACTTCACTGAGAGTATCTCTGGAACTGAGCATAGCCCAGCTCAGAGAGAAGAACAGAGATGCTCTTGATTTGTTCTGTCTGATCGGGTTGCTGCCTTCTGGAGCTGACAAAGACGAGATCACTCAGATTTGGGGAGACAATTCATGGAAGAAACTCAAAAATACTTTAGTTGGGAGTTCACTTTTAATCCACAGAAATAACACCACAGATGCAGACATCTATTACATGCTTCCATTTATGTCTGAAAGAGCATGCGAAATTTTGGAAGAAGATAAGAAGCTTCAGAGAGAATTTCACTTGAAGTGATGAGCTTTATATAAGAGTTACTGCTATGAATTCTACAAATCTGAAAAATCTATTGAAGATATTGAAGGACTTGCTAGTATAGAGAGCAATATTTGGGCATGCATATACAGAGCGCTGGAAAGAAATATAGAAGAGAGATCAAACGTAGCCCAAGAATCGGTAACAAATAGTGATTCACCAACATTGTTACGAAATAATGTTTCACAAACATTAGGAGGCGCCACTCTAGGAAATTCTCCAGGAGAAACTCTAGGGACCACTTCAACATGAAGACAAGAAGTTGATAACTTTACAGATCTGAAAGACCTTATGTTAGATGTCGAAGTGTATAGATCTGTCTCTAAATTTGAAATCAGTAATGTTTAAAGATAACACGTGTAGACCAAATTGTCGACTCGAGGCATAACCTTATCACAAAGTTAGAATGGGAAAACCAGGATTTCGATCATCTTGATGAAACGCAGGAGGAATTTTTAATTGTCTATTACGCGACAAGTCTTATATTGTACCATCCAAGTATAACATCATAGCTTGCACAAACTTGATGATGCTCTAAAGGCCATCAACAGTTACATCTCAAGGCCAGAGATCTCTCTGATTGCTAGGGCAAATTTACAAAAGATTCAAGGATTTCTTCTCATGATAAGTACTGATCATGAAGTAAGCCAGCCTCTTATCTGTAGAATGTGCTTATTGCCTTATCAGCCTTCAGATCCTCTCTCCAGAATTTCCAAAATCTGAAGCTAATAAAAGGAGTAGCTATATGCCAGCTTGGTGTAGCCAAAATCTGCCATGACAGGTATAATGAGCTTGTTATCGAGAAAACTCCAGAAGAGCAAAAAGAATTTTTATCCCAATGCTTAGAAATTACAAATAATTCAATCGATCTTTTTAGAGAAGTGGGCTTTGAAGAAGGACAGAGGCAATCTACTAAAATTAAGGAGTCGTTTCTAAAAGTACAGAGCTCTGAAAGTCTCAATTTTGAGTACAAATCAATGATGCAGGAAGATAATTCAGTGTTACTTAGTAAGAGAGAAAATATTACCAATTTAGGTGTGATTTGAGGGGGAGAATAGAAATACGAAGGAATAAATACACTGATGATATTTGAAATAGAGTGGATGTCTACTTGATATTTGTAGCCAAATAAAAACATTTGAGAAGAACACTTAGTGTTCCTCAAAATTAGCATCATCGCTCAGTTTAAATCTCAACTTAACCCACCTCTATTGGGGTTTTGGGGTTTTGGGGTTTTGGGGTTTTGGGGTTTTGGGGTTTTGGGG